CACTAGTGCCGATGGGGCCAGATGCCTATTCACATTCCAGAGGAATCAATGACTGGCATTGCCAATTCGCCGGTGGCTTTTGAAGCCTGACCACCACGTGGTGGGCGACGCGGCGGGTTGACAAAGGAGAGACGGAGACGACACCTAAAGGAAGGGAGGAAATGTTTGGTGTTTTCCTAATACGTTTATCTATTCGAATCCTTGAGTCTGGCCAGGTTGTACAGCCCCCAGAGGCGTGGCCTTCGGGGTACCTCAGCCTTCCCGTAAATCGGTAATGCATATCCTTTACAGCACTTCGGCTTGTTACGATTATAGAAAAGACTCGATTGGCTGCATCAAAACTCCATTCCTATTAAACTTTTCAAAACCAAATTTGACAAATATGTTACCACTTTTTTACGAATCTGCAGGCGCAACATTGTGTTAACCAATGCTTATTAACCCACATCGATAACAAAACCGTGGCTTAATCGATCACCATGCAACGCATGCATATCTCTACTTATTTTTGCAAAAAATTGCAAAATGTGGTGCTGCCAACCAATTCTGAAGCAACTGTGGCGGAACGGTAGTCCCCAAGGTGCGCGTCGGAATTTCTCCATTTAATCCAGCGAAAGGATACCTTAATAGACGTCGGGTAGTATTTAAGTCAACCAATTTTTTGGCAATATGTAATACTTATGTTGTTTTAATGTGCCTTTCAGGGAGGAGGCAATCAGGAAATTCGGACCTCGTAACCGGATTGTCCTCTCCCTTACTTAGTGACTGCGGCTCCCCTCCTTCTTGAATATTGTATTTTCCCTATCCATCTTGTCACCTTTAGTAAAGATGTCCAAAGCGAATCAATTGGGCTTGTCTAGGAACGCTAGGAATTGGGAAGCGGAGACCGAGGAGCCTCGCTCCACAAATATTTAAGATTGAACTTATTAGCATAAGACAGCTGAAGCGTTTGTGGCTTGGTCTCACAGCCTCGACGCCCGACCACAAATAAAGAATGAAGTTTTGTTGCCTAAAACGCTAAGGATGGCTTGTGCCACCTATTGGAAATTGTGTTTACATTTAATTGTGATTATTACTGAGTAAAAATAGCATTGCTATTATTATTAGTGCATATATCACATCACCTGCTGTGCTGTCCAATTAAATTGCACTAATTAACTGCAACCCATTGATCCAAATGGCTTTGCTTTGCTCACATAAGTGACGTTCATGATATTTTAGAGGTTTTCTAGTAAGCTTTGTCAGACTAACCAACACCTAAATGTTCCCCTACTAAAAAACAGGATTCTGCCCTAGCAAAAATAATAAAATAAATTGTAGAAACCGCTTGAGTGCCACTTGTTTTTAAGTTTGCTTTTTGCGAAATGAGATAAATAGTGTTGTTTTATTATATGATTTTCACATGTTCGGCCTTGAATCTACAAACTCCTAAATCATTATTTAATGAGACCGAGTTTTCTCCCTGTGTGGTTGGCTAATCTCACCACCGGTTCGGATTTGGCATAGCTGCTAAGTTTTCCTTGGCACATGTGGTGTAGTCTCTTTTGTTATGTCATTGCGGACATCACTCCCTCGATTCGTTTAAAAACTACTTATCTCGTGCGAGGTGATTCATACGTGCACTTTTATTGATATTTTGCCATGATTGCATTACAGTTCTCGTTGATGTGCGCCCACTCTTGCACAAATGACTACCTAATTTACCCATAGTTGATATTGTTGGGACAGAGGCCATTTCCACACATTATGCATGAATGTGTCTTTATGCGCTTACGGGTTGATTTTAAATAATGTTGGTCTTGTGTGGATGTTATGGTTCAATTTAAGTGACAAAATAGAGGCATTTCAGTTACCTGACCAGACTTCTGTTTTTGTTTAACGAATATATTCCCTATGGAAATTCCGCCACTCCATGACACGTGCATTTGAGAATTCAGGTACCTAGACTTGATTTTTCGGGTGTGAGGAATCCAGTAATTTTATTTTCATCTTTATTTTAAAAGCGTTTATTTAACACTTGATACTTATTGCCACCCACGCTATTTTACTCCACTCACTCAAAATGTTATTTGTTATACAAAAACTCGCTTGCTGACTTTCCTGTATTTTGAAACCATTTTATAGTAGTAAATAAAAATTAAATCATCCTTGCATGTATGAGTTTCTACTTTAACTGTTTGTAATGTTTGCCTCACTTCAGTAGTTTGTTGCCGTTACTGCAAGTGTATCGTACTTAAAGGATAGCTTCTAAGAACACAAACCTTTAATTTAGTGAATCTCAAAATCATATTTTGCCGCAACATTATCGATATGCTTTTTGTTTACTTTCTCAAAATACACAAGTGAATGTCCGTACTTCTCTGTTCGAAAGATATGGGGTTCTTTGAGAAAACCAAGCGCAAACATGTATATTCCGGGAGTCTGACTCTGATTCTTTCTGCAACGTTGAAATTTGTTATTTCATGGTGTTAGTCGTGTATAGATTTGTATGTTTTTTTTTAAATTTACGTTTGAAATTCGCTGTTCGTAAAAGATCTGTTTTAATTTCTCTAAAGCTTTGAAAATTGACAGCGAGTTCCTAAATATCGATAGAAACTATTTTCTATTCTATGTATTTCCGGCCGACATGAGCAGTTCCTGCTTCTAAGATGAGATCAAATTCTCCTCCAATCAATACTATAAACTATTTATCCTCTGCTCCCATGTATTTTTCGTCAAATGTGTTTATAAAGGCTCGAAAAATGCAGTCACATGTCAAAAATACTACGGTATCTCGCAGTGTCATTTCAAATACTTGAGCAAATGGGTTTATTACTTTGTAAATGATGTTTGGGAAGATGACGTTTGCTCACTCACATGCTTCTATTCTGCGTTTCTATCGCGCTTTCTCTACGTTGAGTTTATCTGTTTCTCTCTCCGAATAGGGGTATAGTTCTATCGAACCGATATTAGAATGACGTCAGCATATATCACGATGGGAGTGAATGGCAAAGAGTTATGGAGTTCTTTGAATTTTATGGAGAGTCTTCGTTTCTCTCCCATATTCCGACTGGCCCTCCGAACAAGTGAAGCCGAGGTGGATCTCTTGCAAGCCCGTTACAAAGAGGCAGCCGAAATGTTTACTCGCACATCAAAGGTAATTCTTTACACCTGCTTATCCTTACCTGCATTATCAAATAGTAATCGCTTATTTTTCGAAACTAATAGGCTGGAGAGGCATTTGCCGATGCTCTTAATGGTCTGAGTCGTTGTTTAAACAACCTCGTGACACCGAGTCCCAATCTTCCAATCAGTATTGATCGTGAGGCGGAGGTTCAAGGCATAATTCGATCTATCTACACCTTTTCCAACCTCGTTGCCGACTTCTCCTCTCGCCTCACACAACCCAGCTACGTGCTGTTCCAGGCTGGCATTAAACTGGATGAGCTGCACCAGGCACGCAAAGAATTCCAACGCGCCAACGAACAAGTTGACGTGGCTGTAAACAAGTCTGCTGGTGTTTCACGTAGTCGCACTTCAGATGCTGAAGAGGCGGACACTACACTGTTGGACGCTCGTGCTGCTTACGCACGAGTCTCTGAAAGCTACCTCTCACTTCTCCGAAATGTCCTTTGTCCTGTTCGACTATCCACCGTCCTCCGAGCCACGATCAGCACCTTCGAGATCCAGCAAAACTACTCCAATGGTGTGGCTTTACTTTCTCAATCCGACGATTGTGTCTCGGCGCTGAGAAACTCAATCTCTACCTACGATGCAGAGATCTCCAATAAACCTAAATTCATTACAAATGGTGTATCCCCAGCGCCTCCGTCAGATCAGAGCGTCCGCTATGAGGGATACCTCTTCAAACGCAGCAAGAAGAAACGATGGAAGACTTGGATTCGACGATGGTTCAGGGTGAAGGATAATCAATTGATCTACTTCTCCTCCCTCTCGGACACTTACACTAGCATTACGTGGAAGGTTCTGGAACCCGATTTACGTCTATGCACCGCAAAGGCTATTTCTTCGAATTTTGGCAGTGGAGAGCCCCTCATGGTGTCCTCGTCAGTCACCAACATTACCGAGCGTCGATTTGTGTTTGAGTTAATTTCACCCACAGGAAAGGTGCATTACTTGCAGGCGGAGTCCTCTGAGGCTATGGAGAAGTGGGTGACAGTGCTCCGTACTGGCCTTTTGAATTCTGCCACCAATGGAGAGGCACGAGCGTCGAATGCACTGACCGCCCCGTCTCTGACTGGCTCGAGAGACAGCTTGCGAAGTCTCAGTGGTGCTCTACTGCTTGACGAACCACCAACAGCCGGTAATCGCTCATGTGCTGACTGCCTCACCACTAACGATGTCAAATGGGCGTCTACAAATTTGGGCGTCACGCTGTGCACGGACTGTGCTGCCTGTCATCGAAGTCTTGGAGTTCATATATCTAAGGTGATTGATCTAAGACATTGATTTTGACAACAATCCTGCAGACCGTAGGGGTTTTATTAGTTCTTTTTTACCTAGTCAGGCATTTTTGAAAGTTAAAGTTCAATCTTAGGGCGTACAATACATCACATCATTTTGTTTCTTCTATTTGGTATCATCGATTTGATTAAATTTTCTCGCGTAACTGATTTGTTCACAATTATAATGTCGCAGTCACTGGCTTGTACTAGTATTTTAGCTAAAAATTGATCCACCCACGTTTTGTTTGTGTTGTGTGGTAGCTGATTTTTCATCGCTGTCAGTACATGACTGTCACTACGACCCCACTCGTGTAAACTATTCATGTTTACTGAGTGACTATTTTTCTGGCGTTGGTAGTAGGATGTGGTAGAATGGGAATGAACTAGCTCTTATAATGCAATATTAGCTGTTTCAATTTTATTTGATTTGTGTTTTGAAGGTTCTGATCTGCACAAGTTTACAGCTGTCGGTACCATTGGCATTTCATGGATTCATTCACGCGGGATTGTTTCATGCTAAAAACTAAGTTGCTTTTGAATCAAAGGCAAGTTGGAAATGTTGTAGCGAGGGCAATTATTGAACATTAATCAGCACCGTAGCATCATAAGGGCGCTGTATGCAGGCATCGGTGTGAGTTCACCAGTCTGGTTAGCTGGAACCACGTGATTCCACGCTTTTGTACCTTGCACAAAAGCGTAATGCGCTCAATTACGTATTGTAATTATTAATTGCTTGTCATTAGAGCTCCGAGTAAGACACTTTATAACACTTATCTAAAGCAGAGTTTACTTTCGTAAATCCCCTCTTTTTCAATCCCTACGCACTCCAGGATTCGCCCTTACCTCAATCTTACTGCTATTGTCAAGGCGGCTGAATACTACGCGTTTTGCTCCTATTGTTAAGCAAAATCATTTGGTTCCGTTTCATAACGGGTAGGGCTTCTTTTTAGTATATTTAGAAGATGTTAATTTTCGCGACTTTACATTTGTTATACGCTTCATTAAAGCTTCCTGAAAATAATTAGGCTCTTACAAAGTTGCGAAGACTACACTTAACCTCGGTGTTTTTGCTGGTGAAGCTTCATCATTGAGCATTCTTATAAATTTTTAACAAGTCGAACATACTTATTTCTTACTGATTTGTGGGCTGACGTATTCCCCTTCGACGATTTTACGCATTATCTCTGCAAAGCTCATTTAAATTTTAAATTTCCTGCAACTTACGGTTTGATTGTCGTACTATATGTCACCATAACTGCGAGCGAAATTCGGGGCAATATCTTGAGTAAAATCGCTACTTTGTAATTTTGTTTTGTGCAACCGAGGAACAGAAGTCGTGTTGTACCGCCGCCACGATAGATTTTTTATGGCGACTTCACACAAGAGCTAATGCTACATTTTTGGTGCCTTTTGAAAATATGGATGAATCAAGTCCAGAGTAGGGGGCAAAATACATTACGATGTAATCATCTAACTTATTTGTTCTAGTTGATCTATTCATGATAGTATAGCATGAATTCATTAAAGAATTGACTGATTGGACGATAGTGCCCTCATAGTGCATTATTTTTCGCCGCAGGTGCGTTCACTGACACTGGATAACTGGGAGCCAGAGCTGTTGGAGGTGATGCGTAACCTTGGCAACAATTTGGTGGCCAACGTTTACGAGTCCAACCTACCCCCGCCTTCCGCACCGTCATCACCATCGGGAGCGTCAACACTGCCGCGTCGGCCTCAAGAGGGCGAGTTGAACGCGCAGTTGCGACGTACGTGGGTGGAGGCGAAGTGGGTGCGGCGTTTGTTCGTGCGCTCCTTTGTGCAGCCTAGTACCACAATGTGGCTCCTTGACCTCTACCGCAGCTGGCTCCTACAGGCGCACTCCCGTCGAGCCTCCCGTCCCCACAACTCGCCACCGGGGTTCAGAACTGCTGTCGTCGCCATTCTCACCACTCCTTCTGTCACAATCTCCGGTCCTGTCACCTCTGGCTCAAGGATCATGCGGATGCACCATCCTCGCCTCATCGACCGACGACGCTTCTCTACTGTTGTTCGGGGCTCCACTGCCCGCGCCCAAGTCACTCTCGGTATGTCTTCCCCTGTCCCGATAGTGCGCTTTGGTTAGTTTCTACACAAGTATCTAACATTAGCCTATAGTAGGTGCTCGTCTTGATTTGTACTTTGCATTCAGCCAGTAGTTTGCCTTTGTATCGTAAAGAACTCTTCTCGTTGCTGAGTACTAGATACCACTCTTACCACTCCATCCATTAGTTGTATTTTCATTGTTAGCTCTTTGGATTTGTTAGTATTTCAATAGCATCAGCAGATTGGTGAAAATAGTTACATGTACCCATACTCATCACTCTTGCGGCATCCTTCTACCCTTCCAACTTCTTTGGCCTGGTATTCGGTTACACAAAGTCGTTACGATCCCATGGTCAATTTCACCCACATTTCAAGGTTACTACAAAGAAATTTACGATAGAAATAATAGAATGATTTTTACTATAAGCAAATCAATGGATTGGATCAACACAATGGTGTACATGCATTGTGACCTTCAGTCCGTCTCACCTCCACTATTTTGCTTCGTGATCTAAGCTTTCTGTTTGGTTATTGGGTGACTTTATCACGCTACTCCCCTTAATGTTGATTGCCCACTGAGATTTCGTTATTCTATTCTGGTAATTTATTACACTCGTTAGTAATTGGTTTAATATTACATGGAAATAAACCGATAAGTTCGTTGTATACCATTACTCATACCCCTTAGGTGGAATTAAGATTGGCATATTTTACTTGAAAATCCCCAGCATCAGATTGCGTGGTTTCTGTAGTTTCAGTACTGCCAAGTGGAATGAGATAAATGCATCTTTTTTAACCGTCGAAATTTAAAACTGCTCTTTCCTTTAGTCTTCAGTGATTGATCCCTTTTGCAAATTCGTAACTCAAAGTACATCTTAGAAAATTACTACCTTTTCCGACCTTGCATTGAAATAACATTCTTTATCGTGTTTCATTGGGTCATTCCAGGTACTAAAAAATGTTAATTTCTAACTAACTACTATTTTTCAGAGAAAAATCCTGTTCACGAAGTGGATGCCCCATTTACATTCTATTGGCACCCGATAGGTCGATTGCTGCAGTTAAAAAAACGAACCAAAATTACCAATTTTTCAATCAATCAGTATATTCCCATAATTACTTTTGACACCCTAGGAAATAACCATATTCGGGCGATTCCTCCTCAAAATAGTCTAGGTGATGCTTGCACTCATTTGCCATTACTTAAGTGAGACGCGGATTTCAGCTCAATTATTCTCTGAAGAAATAACTGGTGCTGATACTGCATCGTTTAGCTCTTGCTTCCACTATCTCTAACAACTAACAATCGCACCCGCAGACACACTGTGCGCACATCTAGACTCGGTAGTGTTCGGAGAGCCGCGCTCCTCGCCGTCATCGCCGACGGAGAGCGTGCGGGAGAAGACAGCAGCACGCCTTGTGCTGGTGGCGGGCGCTCGCCTCGGTTGCGCCCCGCTCATCCTCGCCGGTCTAGCACGCGGCGCCTCACCCAACGCCCTATCCGTCGCTACCGAATGGGCTCGCATTTACCGACTGCCCCAACCTTCCGACGGTGATCCTCTCGGTGCCCTCACTCCACCCCTCATCTCCGCCGTTACTGGCGGACGCATAGCTGCTTGTGAACTCCTCCTTACTAACGGGGCTGATGTAAGCTTTCCCTCACCCTCATTCTCTCAATGCTCCTGCTGTCGCTTTTGCGATGTGAAACACGTGGAAACGCCTCGGAAATAGACCGCCTCAGCTGTAGAAACGCGAGACAGAGCTGCTATCGTTAAATTCCACTAGTAGGGTGCGGCACTGGTTTTTAATTTATAATTTGTGTTTCATCTTCGTTTTATCAAATGTTCACGCTACCTGTTGTCTCTGTTGCAATGACTAATTTATGCCAGTTTTAAAGATCGATTTGTAGTTGTCAAAACCATTTATACGAATTCAACATGGAGCTTTGTATCTACCGCCTCGGCTGCTATGGAAATTCGTGAGTAACTTTCTGTTTGTTTTACTTGGTAAACCTTTTGGCACCAAAAATTTCCCAAGTTCGGGAAATATGACAGTCAAATTGTCATTTATTACTGCTGAAATAAATGGAACCGCTACCGCTTTGCACGCATGCTAGCGCCCTGAGGCGCAGTTGTATCTTTGTGAATTCATTGTGAAATACGACCCCATAAGCCTGGTGTTTGCCTGTTGCAGGACCTCAGTGTTTTTACAATCCCAATTCCAATCTGGGCACCGTTTTGTGCCTAATAGTTTCATTAAAGTAGATGCTCTGTGATCTCCAAGTGGTTTGGTTCTCAGTGGTTCGTGTGCAAAGCAGCCAATCACTTTTAATGTGATTAAAATGCTACTAGTCTCTTCCTTGTTTCTGACTCTAGTGGATTACTTGGAAACTTCATGTATGGCGTTCTCAAAGGCGATTCCTTCCAAGGGTCAAGTTTTTGGTGTTTTCTCACTACTAGACCTTTGCATACTCTCCCCCACCTGGTTAATGCAATTGCTTTGGACTTGTATTTTTCCGGCAATATCTTTCTTTTCTAGCGCTACGTCAAGTCTCAAATGTTCATATTTACTTATTTTTTGAATCCCTACACTTGCTTTAACATCACAATCTGATACTCTTAAAGCAATCCTGGTATAGATAGCGAAATACCGGAAATAACTTTCCAACTTTCCCTTCAATTTCTCCCAATACCTGCCTAGGGGAAGCCTTTCCATGACCCCCTTCCGTCGAATACTCAAAAGCTTTTTATTTTCTGATTACTTGGGTCAACTTACTTCGGTTTGCGAATTCCTTGATATACTTGATCTTTGAGGATTTGCGAATGTGCTGAATTCATATTAACCCTGATGTTCGTGAGTTATTGCATTATTTGAAAGAGTTTTGTTTCACTTCTAGAACCTTGGAGGATAAACTCACGAACCCGTCATAAAGAGTTGGTGTTATTTTCTTTTAACCAATCATTTTCCTGGGATAAAGCGTACAAATAATCTCACAGATGATGCTAACATAGCACTACTACTTTGCCCTATTTTACCCATCCTATCGATTTTGAGGATTTCCACCAGCGTTACCTTGTAATGCTTCATCACGTGTCTTTCTTCATTTTTGCCAACCTCATCATCATGGGAATTTGTTAGAATGACTCAAAGTTCAATGCTTATGCCGTGAAACGCAATGGCAATAGTTACTGGTTTAAGTGACTGGTTTTTTATTTTCTTTTGCCATGACTAATTGTTCATTCCCAAGAGCTTTTCAATGCATCATTTTCATTAGATTTCAGTCGCTTCCCGCTCTGAGTTCCCGCCTCTTCCTGGGGAAGTTGAGTTTATTTACTAAATACTGCTGCCTTTCCCTGCTGACATTGATGTGAAGCTCGTTTAATGATCCGGACTTTCAATGCGAATTGCCTGACCAGTAATTTTTAAGTTTTAGAATTCAAGCATGTTATCACGCCGGCATAGCACGAGCCTTTCCATGACTTTTTTATCTTGCTTCCTTTACTAACACGTTCAATTCGGCCTAAATGAAGGCGTTTTGTTTGGTATTAGCGGGTAAAATAGTCGTTATCTCAACCCATAATTTGGTCTCGATAATGGTTGAAATTTGTTCTACCACTTGTATACGCACTGATTTCCTATACCATCTTTCGAGACAGGGTTTTTTGTGGCTGAGTTACTTTGAGACATTATGACCTGGCGTTTTATGGTAGAAAGTTTTGTTTATACCGGCCTGACTGGGTCATAAATTATCATTTCAATGCTTCATCCTCTCTTCTTTGCATGCAAATGATTTTTTAATACACTGACTTTATACCAAATAAGAATGAATAATTTGTAGCCATGCAAAGGATGAAGATGTTGTGTTTGATTCCTGTGTCATCCGCTACAATCGCCTAATGACCCATTTCGGGCATTCACTCACTGCATTCCTCCTGTGGAATTTTCTTACTCACTGTAACTTTCTCACAAAATAAGTTGTGGTACGAGTGATGTGCTTGGTGGTCTGGCGATGGGTTTGTAGAATCTGAGCTACTGTATCCCTTCTTCAGTGCCTTACTCCGACCTTAGTAGTAATCTAATGGTGCGTGGATGCAGTGGAACTGTACGCCTTATTCCCGTTCGTTGGTTAACGATAGTGCAATAGATCATGCATGTGAAGCCATCATTTTTTTCCAAAAATAGTTAAGTGATTCATCACCTTCCCTTTCCTAGCTGAACTCCCTTCGGTCTTGTTTAGTGCTGTGCTAGCACCAGAGAAAAGCAAACAATTTAATCTTCTTTGGTTTTCAACAATTATTTAAAGTTAACCTATCAAACCATCTGTGTTTAATGTTTCTACGAGTTGAGGTGTGCTTTTCAGAGCTCGGTAAACTTATCGTTTTTCTTATAAATTGGGCTTTTTAAGACAATCTTTGTCGTAAAAGGACCTGCAAAAAGGTACATTTTAAAGGTTCACCAATGTGCACTTAAAATGCTGCTTTATCGTAGGGCAGATTCGGGTTTAGCAAAAATTTCCTCACTCAAGCCGCGCATTAGGTCGGTTGTTCTCCTTCCTCATAAAAACCATCTATTGGGGTAACGGAGATGACGATGTATTGTTAGAAAGGCACATTGGATTGGATTCCCGCCTCAGGCATCGGGAACCCTCCGTTGGCCTTTTCACTGGAAGCATAAATGTAAATGATATCATTCCATAAAAGCAGGGTTAGTGTATCATTCAAATAGATTGCATCCATGTCACCGTAATTTTGTCCACATGTCAGCTTGTTTATGAGCGTTTCCTCTGCCAAATTGGACCTTGGTTTACATCAACAACCATTGCTGATCAGTTATGGTAACTAGCCGCAAGTTATGGTGTTTCCTTCTCCCACGAAAACTCTCCTCCACATTCTCGCTTACCCGACCGCTCGTGCGCACAAGCAGACCGTTTGCCGACACGCAAGGCTCTCAGTCTTCCTACTCCAAGCACCTTTTTCTGTGTGAAGTTAAAAAAATGGGGTCATACCCACAACTGCTGAACGTTAAGTGGCTGTAAAGCTACACTGCCTCCAAAGGCTGGTTTGCTCACTCTGGCGGTTGTGAAATTGGCTCTATGGGTTTGATTCACTGGTCCTCCATTTGATCTTATTGGTCCTTGTCTTTGGCAAAGTAAATATAAAATCTGTACAAGCTGGACGTGAGCTATGCACCGTTTTCCGGTTAACCTGAGACACCTGCACACCCACATTTTTCGTTGAAAGTCTGCACATTCTCAAGTATCTCTTGGTTTTTCACTCCCTTGTTGATCGAATGAGGCCGTACCGATGGGGGATTCCCCCCATCGTGCTCAATGTTATCAGAACTGCTGTCATTACAAGACAGTCTGACCTTTTTGCAGCCTCACTCTCTGTGGTGTTTGCGTACAGGTAGTGATCATCTCTTGTAGATCCGCCTCCTTTACCCGGTCACTGGCGGCCACAGTCAGTGGCCTAACTGACGCACGTGCGTGTGCACGCAACTTACCAAATCCTCTCTCCTGTCCCTTCTTTTCACCCTACTTCCCTTTCCACTCTATATCACCTCTGCGGGTTTTTTGTCTCGGACCCTTCTGTCAACCGTTTAGGCCACGCTGCGCTCGGCTCTGCTTTTTTTCGCGCTTAAATTTAGCTGTCCTTATGTTACCTTTTCACATTAAGTTCGCTTGTTTTTGTCGAACTCTTCGTACTTCATGCATTTGTGTTGTTGAGTTGGCTGTCTTCTTATCTTGAGTAGTTTTTCACCATTAGTTTTTTTGTTTAATTTAATTTTGGAAATTGAAGAGTACTAAGGAACCAAAAGACCAGCTGTCCCATTCTTTCGACAATTCGCCTACTTCTAAGAGGCTGTCATTTTCAAACCTTTAACTGATGCCACCATGAAGTGATTTCCTCATTATACCTTTCTTTTACCTCCTGTAGATTGGTAATCTCATTTTTTGGGAGCTATATCTACGTTCATCAAGTAAACTTTTCAGTAGGCGTTCAACAAGAAAATAGATTGCGTGGTCATCACGTTCCCAGTGATGTTGTTGCTCCCTCGTTTCTCTGCGTTTACCATTATTTCTGATTTTATGATACTGTTTGAATGAATTAATCATCATTGCCCCAAAATGCTCCACTACTCGTCACTCTCGTTGGCACCGCTACAACTCAGAGATATTGCTTTTGTTGACAGTGTTCAGCCGCATAAATCAGTCGGGAAATATCAAGGGGGAAGGCCTAGGTTACGAGGTGTTGCTCTACGCCCCATCGGCACTCTGTTGTGTTGCCGCTGTATTCCCAAGCCACCTCTCTACCCTGCACTGATATTTGTATAACGTTTGTGCGTTTATTGGTGTGGAGCTTTATGAAGTTGTGGTGTTTATGTGCTGGTGTTATTCACGTGCTATGATGGTTTGCACGTCTGAATGAACTTCTAACTCCAACTCTAGCGAGGTTAGGTCTTTAATTTCCATTTATCCTCTAATTAACTATATCACATTCCTGTCTGCTTTTTGGTGCCTGTATAAACCATTTTTCTCTTTCCTCAGTTGCTTTTCTTCTAAGAAATGAACTGAGTGGATCTATTCGATGTCTCTTGTCAATGTTTCGAAATTATTTCATATTATGTTAAATTGGTGCTCTGAAATGAGGTTTGAGAACCTCTGACTAGTCTAATATGGTGTGTTTTTATGGTGTCAAAGGTCGTTGATCAGAGGGATATGTTAACCTTTTTGATAGGCCTTTGGAGGGTAACCACCAACGAGGACACGATCTCTCAGTTGGTACAAGTTCAAGGTGGTTTTTAGGCAAGGGACACTTCATCTCAGTGACCATTTTATGTTTGCGTAGCCTCTTCCTGCTGCTGATTCAGTGGGTTCGGCGATTGACCTCTCCTTTTTGGCTTCATGATGTTGGAAGGTTTCTACTTAGAAATGTGTTTTTTAATCCTACAATAAATCCACTCTAAGATGGTTTGCTAAACAGACATAAGTTTAACTATCTCTATTGAAGTCTAAATGCTTATGTTGGAATGGATTGTCATGGGAATTCATTCGTACCTTCGTCTTTACAGCTGGCACTAAATTTTTTCTGTTTATCAAATACTGGTGTAAAGTGATTCCGTTGCCACTGTTTTTAAATGAATCGCGTAGATCCAACACATCTGAATGCATTAAAATATCGCAGTGGTCAAAGGTCTTTAAAATGTGTTTCTATGGAATTGAATATTCGATTTTGCTATCCTCCGATAGCGAATGTTATTACAGGAACCTTATACCATGAATTTCACTCAACTGGATAATAAATAAATCGGTTTAGGTGAATGAGCCTACCGAAAATAAATTTATTCAAACAAGAAGCTTCTTCATGCAATTTCATTGAAAGTCGTACCATTCTGCCGGAAATGGCAATGACATCAGTCTACCAACGAACAGTCCTTATGAACCGTTCGTAATAATCCGAAAGCACATGCGTAAAAGACAACCACGGTTTTGAGGAAACCGATCTCAAAATATTCCCTCTGGTTCCTTAAGAGAAGTGATTTTGAAGAAACTGGCTTTGAAGGATATGCAGTGAATACTGTTTCTCTGGCCCATTTCTAGGATGCAAACCTATATGCATATGCACACACTTGCAGCAGTGCTTTTACCGTCTGTATTAGATAAACGCAGTGGACCAGGACGGTAGAACGGCGCTGCACCATGCCTGCAGTTTGCAGCGGGTACACCTGGTGTGCCTGTTGCTACGTCGACAGGCCAATCAGGAAATCCGAGACAAGGACGGTCGCCGACCTATCGATGTTGCTATTGACACCGCTCACGCCGACATCGTCACTCTCCTACGGCTCCAACCCCTCCATAGTGACTCCAAGGTCAGTGGCATGTCTCTCATTTGTCTCTGCTTCCTGTAGCATTCAAGTCACCTCTGTGTTCGTCAAAGTATACAGATAGTATTGTAGTGGCACAGCCTGAATATTTGTGCGGCATTTCTGCATAAGAGGAGGACTGATTAACAGGGCGTAATATAATTCAGTTTCTGCCCCTTTTCAACACCCTAATCATCGTACGTAGAATCGGAGGCCTAAATTAGTGGTGCAGAAGGCAATTTTAAACCCATTTCGATTAATGTAATAAATCAGATGGTTAATTGGTGATGGTTTCTGCATTTACTGTCGTTAAATTTCCCTCTTTATTAATTGCCTTCAACTGATCTCAGAAAATAGCCGTAAAAGATTACAAGCACTTTAAAAATGAATTCAACTGACAAAATTACGATAAGCTCACTGTAGTGCAGAGATAGTCTTTCAAGTCTAATGAGTTAGTAATGCATGTTCCATCCGGTGTTGTATTACCGCTTCAAGTGTTGCGTTAAATTCGTTATCTGTCTTTATAAATTTTTCCTCTGACTCACCTCATACAAACTGCAAATTTCTTATTCGTCATATCCTTTTTCAAGGCAATCGTTCGGTTAGTGGTCGCATTTAAAGCTGTGACTTCCCCGAACTACAATGATTCACGGTTGGTGTGCAGTCGCATTAGCCTTCAGGAATGCGCTACAATAATCGTAATTACGCCTGTCTCTAAGCGTAGTTTGGACTAAGCAATGTATCGACTACCTAGAGCTGAATCATCCAGTGCTTCAAGAGCTGATAATAACCATTTCGATGCCACAAAGCCCTTCAACTGCCTGCTCGCTGTGTAAAACCAAAAATCAGTCAGTGCTGTTTTGACCTAATCTACACTGATTCCTAGATTTATAAGGAGGTTGTAAGTTTCCAGAGTCAACATAAATGTTTTATGGCAGGGAACTGAAATCAAGACAAATATGACCTCCTGATCACGGTAGCTGGTACAATAACTTTTAGCACGGACGCCCACATCGTGTGAAAACAAGTTCTGTATGTTAGTGGTCATTTCGTTTGGTGGCGTAAACCAAATTCAAGGTGCCGTGTAACAATACTGTTTATGTGTGTGCGAACAGATCATGGACTCGGCATTCTCGGCTGGTGGGAAGGACGACACGGCGATCGAAGTGTTCCGCGATTTCACTACGCGTGCCTACCACCTGGAGTGGGACAGTGAGGAGGAGGACTACCACGAGTCTTCTACACAGTCAATGCCGCGGGATCGACCGTGAGGTGCCGCACCGCCACTATGACTACCTCCGCTTGTCTTTCAGGTTTGCGCCCACCAACCACCTTCCCAGCTCCCTTCTCCACCCATCCATCTATCCAATCATTGAAGATGCTCCCACTTACTCTCCATTTCTCCTCCAGCGGAATGTCAAGTTTTGGTTTTTTTGTCTTATTTCAATCTTTCTCTTCTGCATATGGAGGCACGAAAACGATACCTTGATTATTACGACTGCACGGCTTACTGATTCGTGGATGTTTATATCTCCGTTTATTTATGATCTATGAAAGATTGGATTTCCCGAAAAGAAAGAATATACGGAATGGGGTCCTGTCTGTGCATGTGTTGTCCAGTGTCGCGGGGTTATCGTGAATAAAATCACGGTGGCAACAATCGAGTAGACGTTCCGTGGTAAGAGTGGTGACTTGAGATCGGAAGACACCTAAAATAGCCTGTATGGGGGTAAAACGAGTCTGGATTAGAGATTCGTAGTGTCCCACTGGACTAATAGGGTAATTTCAACTACAGTGCAACTTCATATGCCAAATCCCTTCGCTCAATGCATAAGTTAATATGTATTGCTGGACCGTACGGTAATGGGTATGCCAATAAAGTTTTTTATGCATTACTGCCGAATTGGATAGTTTTATTGTTTCAGTTCGTCAACTGAGAACAGTGGCAATGTAGTGCCAAGAGTCTTCAGGATGACCTGAACAAGGTGAATAGCAAAACAAAAATAAGAATTGTCCTATCTGTTGGGAAGTTAAGCTAAGAAAAGGTGGACTAAGTTGGCGCAATTGCTTATTTAAAATTGTTAGGTGCAAAAATCCATATTTCCTGGTTCACATCTCACTGATAGTAATCCAAAATATATAAATCTAAAAATTTTGATCAAATATTATTGCGTCTCCCTCTGAACTCCTGTAAAGTGTTCTTGTGCTTTTAGGTCATTTCGCCTAAAGAGAAACTCGCATTTCGACTTAGGCCAAGGTCCACACATTCTTAATCCGAATGCGCATTAGATTAATTGGTGTGTGTATTTCAGTCATAATATTTTGTCAGTTTCTGTTATTCCTCTATTTATACCAGAATGACAAGGCTAGCTTGGAATCACTTATGTCAATTGTTCACCAAAGAGGGCTAGAAATCACCGAACTAGTAATGTCTCCTCTCAATTGATTCTTATGTTTGTTGTAGCGCCTTGCACGTAGAAAATATGCAATTAACCCGGAAGATTTTAATGATGCAATTCCTATTTTGATGTTGGCGTGTAATAGAATTTCTATGAATCGATCTCTAAGTCATTTGGTCGAATATCGCCGTGGGCACTCCGATGGCTTGCGGAGATTCCCAATTTACGTATCACAAGACTGCAATGATGAAAATGTCTTGACTTTACTGCGGTCATATGGCGATCAAATCAATATATTGAATCAGCCTGATCATTCAGAGTCCAGCTTTCAAAATATCAACCAAAATTTAAAAGGCATGTTCCATATTTTAATGCTTTTTATGATGTGCATAATTCTGATAATAATCCTTTTGTCG